AATGTCAGTATACCGAAGCAAACTAATTTTGCCAAAATGAAAAAGTATCATCGAAGTTGAAGGATTGGAAACGAATAAGATAAACAAAAATCCAAGCTGTTTAGAATTTTGGCGACCGACGGCGATGACAAAACTTGAGCGGTGCAATTCACACATAAAATGCATTACAGTATTTGAAAATGTTTTTCTCAGGGTTCCGGAGAATGGTTGACACAATCATTTTGTGAAAATGGATTTGTTTTGCTTGTCGGTCGTACTCATTGAAAAAATAACAGTCATACGCAGTGAATTTATCAGCTGTTTAGCCTTATGGTGTATATCTCACAGCAGTTTTACAGTATGAGATAACAAAAGAATGCCAAGTTCTAGTAATGATGTCAAGATTGTGGAGTAACGATGGGAATTACGCTTAAATTCAGTATTGATCACTATTTAGGTATGCGTATAACTTGCCTTTGTCGCTTTTCCTTGACGAGAACCAGGCATACTATGCGAGCTTGGGTTGCACAGTCGCCCACCGATCCAGTAAAACTGAAGACTATTCCATCACCTGTACTCACGAAGCCAGACCAGGTTCTTATCAAGGTTAAGGTAAGAATGATTTGCACTTCCGTTTGATAATGCCGTAGGCCGTGAAAACCTGTTAGAACGTGCCCTTTGAACTGCGAAGGAGGTTTTCGCTACGTCACTTTCGGATAGACTTCTTTTCTTGAAGTCATTCACTCTGAAAATAGTCTTTGTGACATCGCTATATCGCCAATTGAGATGACGGGGCGGGATTTAGAAGTGGGTGGAGTTCACCAATGGGAACGTCACTTTTCACTCTCTGGGCTTGCTGTGAAAAGAGAGATGGCAAGGTGAGACACTTTTGGAAATTGCTAACAAAAGTTTAGAAGGAACGGACCAACTTTTCTTAGTAGCTACCACTGAATTTCATCAGTACTAAAGCGTGTTTTATATTTTCAGATTTAGGCAGCCAGTGTTAATCCGGTCGACACCTTAATGGTTAAAGGATACGGCAAAGAGATTCTGGGAACATGGAAGCGGTTGGAAGCCTTCGATTACGCCGCGAGCCGATTTCCTCTGATTCCTGGAAGAGACTGCGCCGGGATCGTGGAAGCGGTCGGGCCTGCAGTAAAGGGGTTGAATGCTGGTGATGAGGTAGGTGCTTTCATTACATTTTTGTTGTTTCATTGTTGGCCGTGTTTTATAAAGCCATCAATCAGTGGTTTGACTCACCTCTTTCGGATTTTTCTCGTTATTTAAAAATGACGGGGCGGAAGTGGTGCGGTGGCAAATGGCACTTACCACACGCGCGGTCTAAGACGATACTTGGGTCGATGCTTCGCCCGCCAAGCAAGCCTTCGATTCCTCCGAGGTCGGGCGATGGTATTATTGTCTGGGAGGATAAAAACACTGACTTGTACATCGGCTGGCCCCCGCAAGTCATTGTATAGGCCACATCGCATTCAAACGCCACTGCGAATGTACAAATGGAAGTAGAATGCGTGCCGCATCCCAAAAAGGGATTGATCAACGGCAAATCTTCAAGTGCAATGGTAGTTTGTTAGCAGCAATGAAAAAGCGCTTTCATCAGCAATCTTGCGGCTTCTGTTATGCATTACCACGCAGTTTTGGGAATTAAGAAGATTCAGCTGGAGCCGCGCGTGCAGCAAGCCTACGTCGGTGTTCAGAAGATCGCGATTCGATTTCGCATTTGCGCGATTTTCGCGATTTGCGCGATTTTTGCGAAACCTGCGATGGGTCACAGGAGTTGGAGGTGCCCCGATGAATACTGCGAGGTGCTGTTTAATCCTGGAAATTGAAGGAAGACTGCCCGTGATTCTACTCGTTTAATGTTATGTCTATTATTCATTGAAATGCTCATTCGTTCAGGGACGGAACTGCATCTATTCTGAACTGACCATGAGGATGACCATGAGATCGCGCGGATCACAAAAATTGCAAGTGGCCCATTTGAACAATTGAAACACTGAATATGAAGCAAGTGGAAGAGAACACCTTGCAGTATTGAATGAGGCACTTGAGATTTCCGTGACCGTCGCGCAAATCGCGAAAATCGCGAAAATCGCGAAAATCGCGAAAATCGCGCAAATCGCGAAAATCGCGAAAATCGCGAAAATCGCGAAATCGCGAAAATCGCGAAAATCGCGCAATCGCGAAAATCGCGCAAATCGCAAATCGCGCAAATCGCGAAAATCGCGCAAATCGCGAAAATCGCGACAATCGCGCAAATCGCGAAAATCGCGCAAATCGCGAAAATCGCGCAAATCGCGAAAATCGCGCAAATCGCGAAAATCGCGCAAATCGCGAAAATCGCGCAAATCGCGAAAATCGCGCAAAATCGCGGACTCTGACACCAGCCTAACTAGGGGAGGGATCCCCAACCTTGGGTATATCTCCCCAAGGTTGGGGCTTGCTGTACCCGGGCCCTGAAAAGGTTTGATTGGGAAATAGGTTGCGAGACTTATGTACAGTGTCCCGCTCCCTTTACTCTTCTATTCTCCCAAACGGTATCTTCTTCGTTATCTCCTGGTTTCCTCCTGTTTTGAGCGTTGTGTGAGTGCAGGCTAGTCGATTAGATGACTGAACAGCTGATCAGGTGAATTAAGGTGATGGCGGTAGTTCCAGCAGTTTGGGCTGGCTCTCATGCCGAATACGTTGTGTCACAGGAAGCTTGTTGCTCGCGTAAGCCATCGAACCTGAACTTCGCAGAAGCAGCTGCCATGCCTTACGCCGCCAGTACGGCTTGGGCGGCTCTTGTTTGCGTGGCAAGGATGAACCCACGTTCGAAGCCAAGTTTGTTTATATAATTTCGATTGGTTACAGAAGATGAGGACTGAGAGTACCATTTTATAGGTGAACGAGTATTAATTCATGGTGGAGGTGGTGGAGTTGGTACAATGGCTATCCAAATGTTGAAGGCATGGGGAACCGATAAAGTAGTTGTCACATGCTCTAAAGATAGGTAAAGTGCTCACTTATGGATCAGTTTTTGCGATGTTTTGCATATTAGCTTATGTGACTTATAGATAGGAGCAGCCAGTGATGGGCGAAACGATGAAATAATTCGTTCAGTTAACTATGTCTGCTACTTGTCTGTCCTTTCAGCATTTTGGGCACTTAGCTTTTCCTTTATTTCGCTTCGTTGATACATACATTTCCCGCACAGTCGCTAGTTGTCATAGCTGAAAAACACCTTCAGCCGATGATTATATTGCGTGCGACTGTTCTGTGATCTTACCAGTTACTAGTATTTCTGCAAGGGCATTGTAACCTTGTTTGTTAGTTTGGAAAGGAGAACGAGTTCTCTTTCTCAAATTTCCTGCTCATTGCTATTTAAGTGCCGAATTGGTTCGGAAGATCGGTGCTATTCCCGTCGATTACCGTGAGGAAAACGCTCGAGACCGTCTCATTGAAGAGGGACCTTTTGAAGTGGTCTTTGACTGTGTGGATTCCGATTTGGCCAAATGGAGCGACAAGGTAAGACATGTTATTGACCGAGCACTCTCGTATAAAGGAATCAAAACTGAGTAAATGGATGAAGGAGGAATGATAGTGCATAGACTTTACTAGAGGAAATTGCATCCGTGTTCTTTAGATTATGCCCGCTTGGAGGAACAGTGTCCATGTGTCTGTAGTCGCTCCATTACTGAGAGAAACTGATCGACATGGTATTTTACCAGGACTAGCAACAACGGCTGTGAAACACTTTTTTAGAAGTTATGAGGTTTGTGTAGTCGGCATTATTCACATTGGCAAACCCTGGTCGGTTCATTCCCTGCTATTAAATTTCCTGAATCGTTCTACAAATTTGAAAAGTGGGATACATATAAAGAGAAATTGTGGCGTGCAATATATGAGCCCATCATCCATTCTTGATTTGGTGGAATTCCTTTTCACCTTGAGTTTTAAGTCCGTGTGGTTTTTTGAACTTATAAACTGCTATTTATATGCTTTAGACGCTTAGATGTTCAGCTGAATTCATTTTACTTGCTCCAGAGTGCCCTTCATGGAAAATGGTTTTCTTATGCGTTCTTTGCTCCCAGTCAAGAGTGTATGCTGCAGCTGTCGAGGTTTGCCGAAGAGGGAAAGGTTTGTGGACTTCGGCTTTGATATAGGTCTGAAAAAAAAACATTTTATTAAGATTGTGCCGATAGTAGAGCGAGTACAATCGTTCGAAGAGCTACCAGCGGCGTATGAGAAAGTCGAGCAGTTGCATAATCACGGTAAAACGGTTCTGACATGGTAAGCTGGTGCTGAACACTTCTCGCGGCCGTATTCTTGCTTCTCGTCACTGGTCGTTCTCATGTAACAATACTTTCACCGCACGACTACCACTTTTTTAATGATGTAAATCTCACAAGACGGTGTTCGATTGCATGCTGTTATTAGGTTCTAGATTTAGATCTCATTATTCGCCTGCTGACCATTTTTTACCTCTGGTACTCTACTAGAGTATTCCAAGTTTCATCTTTCACTTCTAGTTATTTTGAGAAGGTTTCGTATTTTGAGATACCGGTTGAACTTTCAATAAAGATCTGAAAGTTCTATGTTTGTAACATTATGTAGCGGGTTCACTGGCTGTGTTGAGATATAATGAAAAACCGTTTTGTATGGGAAAGAACACTGGAAGTAGCGAAAAATAGTGATATTCAATAATATTCGTGACGGGGGTTCAGCAACGTCCACTGCCCACTGGAAAAATCTCAGTGAGGTCGTACTAATAAAAGGTGAAGGGGTCGTGCTCGTGGTAGGTAGAGTCGTTTTTGGTGAATGGAAAATTTTTGAAAGCCTGGAATGGGCAATATCACAAAATTAAGTGCTTCAGCACTTGAATGCATACCCTTTGTATACGCGGCCAGGAAACTGAAGTCACTACAGACTCCAGAGCACAAGTGACGACGGCCTCTAACCAGGGTCTTTCAGGGCGTGCCAAGCTTTTTGAAAACGGTCTTTTGCATGATATAGGGGCACATGCGGGAACCACAGAACCATGGTTAATTTTTCCTGAACGGCCCTCTGAATACCAGAAAAGGGGGTCCCTAGTTCGATTCCTCGTGGTGACAAATTTTTGCATTTCGAGTTGACGTTCCAAAATTCGCGCAAAATGGAGTTAGCATGAATAATTAGTACCATATTCATGATTAGGACCGTCAGTAACCCTTACAAATAGACTTTGATTAAAAAATGTTGCAGAAATACTGATAACTGTAGATCACAGAACAGTCGCACGCAATATAATCATCGGCTGAAGGTGTTTTTCAGCTATGACAACTAGCGACTGTGCGGGAAATGTATGTATCAACGAAGCGGAAATAAAGGAAAAGCTAAGTGCCCAAAATGCTGAAAGACAGACAAGCAGCAGACATAGTTAACTGAACGAATATTTCATCGTTTCGCCCATCACCTGGCTGCTCCTATCTATAAGTCACATAAGCTAATATGCAAAACATCGCAAAAACTGATCCATAAGTGAGCACTTTACCTATCTTTAGAGCATGTGACAACTACTTTATCGGTTCCCCATGCCTTCAACATTTGGATAGCCATTGTACCAACTCCACCACCTCCACCATGAATTAATACTCGTTCACCTATAAAAAGGTACTCTCAGTCCTCATCTTCTGTAACAATCGAAATTATATAAATACAAACAAACTTGGCTTCGAACGTGGGTTCATCCTTGCCACGCAAACAAGAGCCGCCCAAGCCGTACTGGCGGCGTAAGGCATGGCAGCTGCTTCTGCGAAGTTCAGGTTCGATGGCTTACGCGAGCAACAAGCTTCCTGTGACACAACGTATTCGGCATGAGAGCCAGCCCAAACTGCTGGAACTACCGCCATCACCTTAATTCACCTGATCAGCTGTTCAGTCATCTAATCGACTAGCCTGCACTCACACGCAACGCTCAAAACAGGAGGAAACCAGGAGATAACGAAGAAGATACCGTTTGGGAGAATAGAAGAGTAAAGGGAGCGGGACACTGTACATAAGTCTCGCAACCTATTTCCCAATCAAACCTTTTCAGGGCCCGGGTACAGCAAGCCCCAACCTTGGGGAGATATACCCAAGGTTGGGGATCCCTCCCCTAGTTAGGCTGGTGTCAGAGTCCGCGATTTTGCGCGATTTTTCGCGATTTGCGCGATTTTCGCGATTTGTCGCGATTTTCGCGATTTGTCGCGATTTTCGCGATTTGCGCGATTTTCGCGATTTGTCGCGATTTTCGCGATTTCGCGATTTGTCGCGATTTTCGCGATTTGCGCGATTTTCGCGATTGTCGCGATTTTCGCGATTGTCGCGATTTTCGCGATTGCGCGATTTTCGCGATTTCGCGATTTCGCGATTTTCGCGATTTTCGCGATTTTCGCGATTTGCGCGATTTTCGCGATTTCGCGATTTTCGCGATTTCGCGATTTGCGCGACGGTCACGGAAATCTCAAGTGCCTCATTCAATACTGCAAGGTGTTCTCTTCCACTTGCTTCATATTCAGTGTTTCAATTGTTCAAATGGGCCACTTGCAATTTTTGTGATCCGCGCGATCTCATGGTCATCCTCATGGTCAGTTCAGAATAGATGCAGTTCCGTCCCTGAACGAATGAGCATTTCAATGAATAATAGACATAACATTAAACGAGTAGAATCACGGGCAGTCTTCCTTCAATTTCCAGGATTAAACAGCACCTCGCAGTATTCATCGGGGCACCTCCAACTCCTGTGACCCATCGCAGGTTTCGCAAAAATCGCGCAAATCGCGAAAATCGCAAATGCGAAATCGAATCGCGATCTTCTGAACACCGACGTAGGCTTGCTGCACGCGCGGCTCCAGCTGAATCTTCTTAATTCCCAAAACTGCGTGGTAATGCATAACAGAAGCCGCAAGATTGCTGATGAAAGCGCTTTTTCATTGCTGCTAACAAACTACCATTGCACTTGAACATTTGCCGTTGATCAATCCCTTTTTGGGATGCGGCACGCATTCTACTTCCATTTGTACATTCGCAGTGGCGTTTGAATGCGATGTGGCCTATACAATGACTTGCGGGGGCCAGCCGATGTACAAGTCAGTGTTTTTATCCTCCCAGACAATAATACTCATCGCCGACCTCGGAGGAATCGAAGGCTTGCTTGGCGGGCGAAGCATCGACCCAAGTATCGTCTTAGACCGCGCGTGTGGTAAGCGTGCCGTTTGCCACCGCACCACTTCCGCCCCGTCATTTTTAAATAACGAGAAAAATCCGAAAGAGGTGAGTCAAACCACTGATTGATGGCTTTATAAAACACGGCCAACAATGAAACAACAAAAATGTAATTGAAAGCACCTACCTCATCACCAGCATTCAACCCCTTTACTGCAGGCCCGACCGCTTCCACGATCCCGGCGCAGTCTCTTCCAGGAATCAGAGGAAATCGCTCGCTGGCGTAATGGAAGGCCTCTCACTGCTTCATGTTCCAGTATCTCTTTGCAGTATCGCTTTAAGCATTTAAGGTGTCGATCGGATAAGCACTGTGCTGCCTAAATTGAAAATTAAAACCCCTTCAGTACTGATGAAATTCAGTGGTAGCTACTAAGAAAAGTTGGTCCGTTCCTTCTAAACTTTTGTTAGCAATTTCCAAAAGTGTCTCACCTTGCCATCTCTCTTTTCACAGCAAGCCCAGAGAGTGAAAAGTGACGTTCCCATTGGTGAACTCCACCCACTTCTAAATCCCGCCCCGTCATCTCAATTGGCGATATAGGCGATGTCACAAAGACTATTTTCAGAGTGCATGAACTTCAAGAAAAAAGTCTACTCAAAATGACGTAGGCAAACTCGTTCGCAGTTCAAAGGGCACGTTCTAACAGGTTTTCACGGCCTACGGCATTATCAAACGGAAGTGCAAATCATTCTTACCTTAACCTTGATAAGAACCTGGTCTGGCTTCATGAGAACGGGTGATGGAATAGTCTTCAGTTTTACTGGATCGGTGGCGACTGTGGCAACCAAGCTCGCATAGGTATCTGCTTCTCATTCAAGGAAACGAGCAAAGGCAAGTTATACGCATACCTAAATAGTGATCAATACTGATAAGCGTAATTCCCATCGTTACTCCACAATCTTGACATCATTACTAGAACTTGGCATTCTTTTGTTATCTCATACTGTAAAACTGCTGTGAGATATACACCATAAGGCTAAACAGCTGATAAATCCACTGCGTATGACTGTTATTTTTTCAATGAGTACGACCGACAAGCAAAACAAATCCATTTTCACAAGATGTGTCACCCATTCTCGGAAACCTGATGAAAAACATTTTCAAATAATGTATATTGCATTATAGTTGATTGGCAGCCGCTCCAAAGTTTTGTCCATCGCCGTCGGTCGCCAAAATTCTAAACAGCTTGGATTTTTGTTTATCTTATTCGTTTCCAATCCTTCAACTTCGATGATACTTTTTCATTTTGGCAAAATTAGTTTGCTTCGGTATACTGACATTGCTACTTTCGAAGGAAGGAAATCCTCGATTTTAAACTTCATAATTTTTGCATGCGAGATATTCTTGAGTTACTTTTAATGGTCATACCACCTATAAGCTAATTGTCATTCGGTTTTCGGTCGCAATGTCTGATACGCAGAGACTGCTGCAAAGGGAGATTGTTGAGGCGTCGCAGAGATAGAATGAAGTGAGAAGAGGTGAGGTTGTCATGTCTACAAGCTACTGGCTACTGTCGCGCCTGTAGTGAAGTGCTGTATTCTTTCCCACTTGGTCTACTCCGATCAAAGATGATTTGCGCAATCATAAATCTATAATGATTCAGGCTTAACCCTCTTCCTGAGACGCCCGTCAGCCCTCGCGATCAGGGTCAACCCTACGTTGTTACGAGTAACAACGGGGGGGTCGTACCTGGTTGAGTTTGTAGGAGGGGGGGTCGTACCCACTTTAGTCGCTCGAAATCACGTGTGGGAGTGAGGAGAAACCGAGATTCCGTGGGTAGTAGGTTGTGCGAGTAGAGGGCGCGCAAGATAAAAATTTGCCGTTTCAGCCGGCGTATATACATACCCCCCCCGCTCGACGGCATTTTTGGAGGAAAAAGTGGGCGGAGTTTTGAGGGTTGAGTGGTAGTGGAAGTTAATACTATAGAGAGGAATATGGTGGTCGAGGGTCGAGAAGGGGGGTCGTACCAAATCCACCTTGGGGGAGGGGGGTCGTAAAAATTTTTCGAAAAGTAACAACGATAGGGTTGACCCTGCTGGAGCCTCCATCCTTGTCGTGCGCCGTGTGTGACGGCGGTCTAAGGCTGGTGTCAGAGTCCGCGATCCGTCGCAGGTTTCGCTGATTTTCGCGATTTGCGCGATTCACGCGACGGGTCACGGAAATCACAAGTGCCCGATCAATACTGCAAGGTGTTCTCCAATCAGGGTCAACCCTACGTTGTTACTAGTAACAACGGGGGTCGTACTCGGTTGAGTTTGTAGGAGGGGGGTCGTACCCGTCGTATCCGTTTC